CAGACAGACAGACAGACAGACAGACAGACAGACAGACAGACAGACAGACAGACAGTACTTGTATGAGCCCAAAGCCATACAGCAGACAATTCCTTTCAAAATGAGGCTATAGAAGAAAAATAGCAGTGTTTAATTGTAAGTGTATGGGTACTATGTCCCATGTAACAGTTGATAAAACTCCTACTTGAGCAGTGAAAAGACAAAAGAGAGGCATTGTGGAGAAATCAGGCACTGGTCAAAATAATGAAATCAAAGAAATCTGTATTTTTCTGGCAACTGGAGAAATTTTTCGAATTCTTTTTTTTTTGGGCTCACCACCTTGAGCGTCCATTCAAAAATTCCGTGAGGAATTTACTGAAAAACATTGAACAAAGGCACCAAAAAAGTAAACTGGCAGTTTCCAAAGACACTCAAGCTTTTGAAGTCACCAAACTTTACTAGCCATTTTCTCGCTGATTTTACCTCTGACACCCAGCGACCCCCACTTCCTTCAATCACAAAAAACGATGAAGGTCCCAGAGTCAGAGAAGAGCAGGGAACAACCGAGACTGACTTGAGGTGTGCAGCCTACTAGCCCACGCACATATCAGACTTCCTCTAAAAGAACTTTTTTTTAATGTGTCACAACACGGTGGAGTCAGGTGCTCATCAATTTTGGCACCTGAGGAGTTATTTGTATCACCTTACACCTTGATCATCTTTCTTGCTTTCGATATAAAAAAAAATACTCATCCATCTTGAGTAGAAGTCGAAATATTTGGGATTTAAGGAGGTATGGGTCACCTGGTTTCAGTGGTAAAATTAACGAGAAAGTGGCTACCAAAGATAGGTGACATCCAAAGCTTGAGAGTTCCTTAAAAACTGCAAAATTACATTTTTTTTTGGTGCCTTTAAGTTAAGTAGCGTTTTCAGTAAACTCCTCACAGAAATATGTCTCTAAATGGATGTAAAAGGTGTTGAGCCAATAAACAAAAATTCCATAAAAATAGCCCTGCATGAGAAAAATGTCAGTTTCTTCAATTTCATTATTTTTACGAGCGCCTGATTTCACCAAACTGCCTCACACATTATTATGTTGTGGAGTATGAAATATGAAAACAGAAGTAAAATAAAAAAACAAAAATATTTTTTTAAATGATTCCATCATTTTCAATTCGGCCGTAATATTTATTGTGCTTCAAATTAATTTCCAATCTGGCAATACCAAAGTTGCATTCATTATGACTATTCCTAGTCTGTACATCAATGCAGAGGGAAAATTATGGGAATCAATAATTCTATAAACACAAACACCATATTTTATATTATGTATTTTAGTTTTTACATAGTGTGTATACTTGTTTTATTTGTAGCAGCCTGTACCATATACAGTCATCACTGTGGAGAATGCGTCACAAATTGACCATGGAACACACCCATAACAATTCATGAGTGTAAGGAAGAACGACGAACCGTACTATTCATCGTTTTTGCATACGGCGCAAGGTTCATCGATGGCCGCGCTGTGTAACGGAGAACGACGAACCGTACCATTCATCGTTTTTGCATACATTGCAAGGTTCATCGATGGCCGCGCTGTGTACCGGAGAACGACGAATGTCAAATAACTTTGCTATTATTCAACCTCAACAGTGCAGAATTTGGAATCAGATTTATGAACATCTTAACCAAAACTGGGCTGAATTACAACTTTAAAAAAAATAAAAAATAGAAGAGTTGAAAAGTAAGAACGTTTTTGGCCTCTCCTGAAAAACTTGCCGTACTACTTGCAAAAGAATATTCATCGTTTTGCTTTACAACTCAGCTTTGGATGTCACCAGACTTTGCTGGCTATTTTCTCACTAATTTGATCTCCGGCACTAGAGAGCCCACATCTCCTTCGATCACAAATATCTCTATGTCTTATCAAGATAGATAGGTCTCTGTGTGATACCGAAACTCCATATGCCCCAAAATCGATGAGTGCCTGATTCCTTGCGTCCAGACTTATACAGTATACATGACATACCATTGGCTGAAAATGCTCTGGAAAGACAATGGCTGCCACCCTCCGTTTGACGACATCCACATCTACACCTTCTGAAAAGTAAAGTGTAATATAGATAGGGTGATAAAGGGGAAAAAAACAGGTATGCCAAATGATTTTTTTTTTAAAACACCTGAAAATGAGCGGAGCGTCACATCTCACCTAAAACGAACCTTGTAAAGTTTATAAATAAGCAAACAAAAACATCTCTCTTACCTCTCCCCTTTCCTTTACAAGGGTATGAAAAAAACGGAAAAAGACGGAAAAACCCCCCAGAAATTTGGCATCCCTGAAGAAAGGAAGAGAATAAAGGAGAAAGAGAGGAAGTGAAAAAAATCAACAAGGGGTGAAAGCAATCCAATTTTTCAAAATGACACAAGACTGCCTTTACAGCTTACGAGCTTCCGGCATGCCTTCAGCATGACAACCTAGAGCTCAGGGCCTACATCAAACATATTGCTTTTGACCACAACAGCATTTGCAACTAATTTATGGCAGTCTTGCTGTAACTACGTCTTTACAATATATCTACAAAACAAGAATGAAAATAGCATACATAAATTCCACTTTACTGGTCCCCTTTGGAAATTTGTTTTACAATGGCTTACACAACACACAAATACATTGATATATAAACGCATCAATAACACACAATGTCACAAAAATTGAATTTCGTCCGGGTGAAGTGTGGTACACATTATGAATTTTCAGTTTTGTATGAATTAATTTTGAATTTTGCTCGCGTGGTGGTCGCAGCCTTCTCTTATCGATTTAGGACCACCAAGGGATATTTAATGTGCACTACGTACACATGGGATCTCCAAGATTTTTTTCACGCTTTTGCAAGAAGGCTAGGTGTTCGGCCTTACTTACCCTGAGATTAGAGGTGTGGCTGAAAGACAGAAATAAGAAGGAGCCAACAATTGCAGTAGAAAGAGT